GGTGCTCTGTTAAGCACCTGAGATCTTAGAATTAGTCTTGCATACGTGTGAGTTGACAGGCAGAAACCCCACCTAGTATGTGCCTGATGTAGTCTCATGTAGTGTAATGTGTGTGCTTGTGTGTGTCATTTTGGCGTGTTTGTTTGTTTTGTTTATCTCTGTTTTATTGTACAATCTTCATAATTTCCAGTGTTTGATGTTTGGTAATATGTAACCTTGTTAGAGATGTTCTTTACAAATAAAACAAATCACTGTAATGTATAGTGTTGTGTGTGAGTGAATTATCACTGTAATATACGGTGTGTTGTTGTGTGAGTGTATTTTCCCACTGTATATACGGTGTGTTGTGTGGAGTGTAATACCAATGAACATACGTGTGGTGTGTGTGAGTGTGTATTACCACTGTACTGTTGGTGTCGTTATTAGGTCTCGGGTTAAGTGAGATTTAGTGCAGTAATCTGTTGTCGTGTTATCTTTTTAATATATTTCTGTCTTTTTTTTTTTAAATAAAATATAAAAAAAAAAAAAAAGCTGTATGATGCATGTCCTTGCATTTAAAAACACTTCTTCACTAAAACATTTACCCCCCTTGTGTTCACCTAAACACTTAGTGCACCATTTCAGCTGTTGAGCGCATGTTTCTGTGCCCCCATAGTTGTGTATTGAATACAATGCTGTCCCAATGTGATCCATCAAAAAAGTACACATTTTGGAGTACTTTTATGTTTGGAGTCTTTTTTCTGTCAGTTTATTCACGCTTGATAAGTGCCTACATGTGATTTCCCTTCAGTGATTTAGTGAGAGTAGGTATATTCTTCTTATGCTGAGTTCAAGGTTTGGTATCCACAGTAAGTTTGTAGGTTTATCATCATGTCCTCGTTGCTTTCGTCCCTAGAAACTATATCTTGTAAACCTTTGCTAATTTCTCTACTAGAGAAATAACTTTTGTTGATCATAATATTTAATGTTCAATGGTTTGGGTGGTGACTGCTTATCCTGTACAATACTACTAAAAATCAGTCACATTGATTCATGTCTTGGTGGCTTCTTGCTTGAGATTTTGACTGCATGCTAATCCTGGCTTTGTCAGCATCAAGCATAATACTCTTAAAGCTTGTTGATAAAATTTTCTTTAATCACCGGAAACAAATTTTAAAGAATGGGATCAAAGGGTTTTTCCCTTTACATGACATTTGCCTATCTCATCAGTATCAGTTTTTTTTACGTGCCAGAGACTGAAAATCACTAATAAACTCGTCAAATATAGGTAATGAGAAAATTAGGAAGACTAGGTAGTGGTATGTCAGTTATGGCAGGTTGACAGGTGCCTGACCACTAACTACAGTAAGGTCTTTGTGAAAGATTTTGTGGGAGGTACAATGTGCCTCTGCCCACCTTTTTTGTTGATCATTAAATGTAACCAAAACATTTTGAATGTCATCCTGAGATGGATTTGACTGTAGGAATACACTTTCGTATTTTTGCATAATCTGAATTAATGATCTTCAGATGCTTAGTAAGCAGTTCCAGTTTTGCTTCAGAACAACAAATCAATGTTTGCATTTTGAGCCAGCCTTTCACAATAACTCAAAATTTTTTATCTGCATAATTTTCGTTTTGAGAGACAGGAGATGAGTTGCTAAAGAAGTCATCTTGAACTCACTAAAATACAATCACCACTGCAAGGAAAAAGCTGTTTCGTGTGTTTGTTAAATTTTTCAGCATGTCTCACTGACCCAGTGACCGGGGCGGTCATTTGGCAGGACCTTGATCCAGGCTTTCGATAGCCTACCTGGAGTTTACCTTGGAGAGGGTTTTGGGGGTCAATGCCCCAGGGCTCGATCTGAGACCAGACCTCACGGTGGATCCCGGGTCTGATCACCAGGCTGTTCCTACTGGCTGAATGGAAGCTGACATACGAACCACAGCCCGGTTGGTCAGGTACTAACTTTAGGTGCCTGTCCAGTGCTTTCTTAAAGACAGCCAGGGGTCTATTGGTAATCACCCTTATGTATGCTGGGAGGCAGCTGAACAGTCTTGAACCCTGGACACTTATTGTGTTGTCTCTTATTGTACATATTGCAGCCCTGCTTGTCATTGGGAGAATGCTGCTTCTCCTGCCGAGTCTTTTGCTTTCATAGGGAGTGATTTCCGTGTGCAGGTTTGGTACCAATCCCTCCAGGACCTTCCAAGTGAATATTATCATGTATCTCTCTCGCCTGCATTCCAGGGAATACAGATCAAGGACCTTCAATCGTTCACAGTAATTTAAGAGCCTTTTCATGCTTATATGTGCCATGAAAGTTCTTCGTACACTCTCCAGGTCTGCAATGTAGCCAGCCTTGAGGGGATCATTAGTGTACAGCAGTATTCCAGCCTAGAGAGCACAAAAGTGATTTGAAGAGAATCATCATGGGCAGATGAGGTACAACATTGTTGTGGTTTTTCGAAGCGAGGTTTCCCTGGCAATTATCACTCCCAGTCCTTCACAATTCTTACCTGCTGTTTTATGGGTAGAATTTGTCATATACCCTAATATATTTTTAATTTCCTCAAGTTTTTCCCCTATTTATAAAAGTTGAAATTTCTCCTCATTGAGCTTCATATTGTTTTGAGTGGCCCATTCGAGGATTTAGTTGACGTCCGGGTTGGAGTCTCGCGGTTGTCTTCGATGGGGGGTCACTGTCATGGTGAACTGGGGTCATCCACAAAGGAGGACATGGAGCTATTGTAGACAGCCTGTACTGTCTGCACAGACAGCCCATGCTGTCTGCCAGCTTAGTTCATATTTTGCGCCCTGCTGGTACACCACCTATAGGCGTTTGCCACTTCAGCCTGCCTGCCCTTGCCTCACACTCACTCCACACCAAGGCCCCAGCAGGAAGACACAAGGCCTTCTCCTAGCTCTCTCTCATGGGATGGCCCTCCCGGGGCCATGGGCACAACACACAAGCCTGTGTACCAACCACGGCCCCTTTTAATAAACTAAGAAGCCTCGAAGATTATCATTTACTCCCCCTACCAGAACGCCAAATAATCCTTTTATAAATGGTGGAAAGCGGTGGTCGCAGCAGTTGTTTGCCCAGAGAGAGGAAGGAAGAGGTATGAAGTCATCTTCACTTCATCACCCTATACAAGAAGCATCCATCTCTCAACGAGTTTTCCTGATGTCGTGTCTGCACGTGTGAGCATCCAGACACAGGTACAAGCAGGATCCAGGCCGAAATTTGCCGAAATTCTCCGAGAATTGTAAGTGGCGTCCCAGTGACCCCATGCTACAGCATCCCATGCTGTTTCTCAGTTCACGTGTTCAGCATCACTTTGCATGTTGCTGTTGTTGTTCAGCTCTGCACAGCTGTTTCAGCAAGCCAGAGGTGAGTTTTGTGGCCCATTTCTGCGTCCAGTGTGAGTTCTCCACTTGCATGTGGGAGGAGGAAGTGGCCGCTCCTTGCCTCGCCCTGCTGTACTCTACTCCCACCAGCCTACCATACACCACTCACCCCTACCCACTCCCTCTGCTGTGTTTTCTGCTGTTTTTTGTGTGATTCATTGCCAGAGCGTTTATCCGAGTGCCCGAGGCCACTCGAAAACTACGTGGATCAGCATTGCCACGTAGATCATGACACCCGTGGATCCCGACACCACGTGGGTGTGGGCGATGTCACGTGGATCTACCCGCCACGTGAGTTACCAGATGTCCCAGGCCACATGCTTGGTCTGCTGCCCACTCACATTGACGTCACCACAATGCTGCCCGACTTCAATGACGTCCCCGATGTCTGCTGACGTCACCTCGAGATGTCTGCTGACGTCACAGTGCTGCTGACGTACCTCGCGACATCAAAGCAAACATCACAAAGATTTTCATATCGAGTGTTTCAGTAATTATTTTAGTATTGTCGAGAAGTTGAGAGAAGATATATGTCGTGTGTTAATTAATTCCTCTCAGTCAGTGTTCTCACATTTTAGTATATGTCTAGTGTCAGTTTTTGCACAGAAAAGCATCATTTGCTAGTTTAAGCCATGTTGTACCGCATGTACCGCGGGTGTTTAAAGTTTCCATTGTGTCCAGTGAGGTCTGAGCCAGACCTGAGTAGCACCACGTGCTAAGTCGCCCGATGTGAAACCCGTGCGTATGACAGCTTTATGTCAAGACAGCCCCGAGTGACCGAGCCCTCTTGTACAGAAAGCTTCTATGCTCGTCACTCGTGATGTTCTGCAGAATCGTACCTGCTATGATTCCCCTCGATATTTGTTTCACTTCACCCAGACCTTCAGAGTGCAGTTATATGTAGAGAAAAAGTCTGGGGGTGCTTAGACTAGCCTCTGCTATAACTCCAACTGCTGAGAGAATGATACTCGCCAAGCCGCAGTTAGCCCTGTCAGCAGGCGCTGTGTCAGCCTCGTGTCACAAGCTTCAGTGAGCAGCCTGCACAAAGAAGATGTCACTTTGACTGCTAGCTCACTCACTGCAGTCTGGTGTATGATGTTACGACTCCAAAATGTTTTCCGCCCATCGTCTCTGCCCCACTCGCACCACAACTCGCTTTATGCTCGCCGGCAGTGACAGCCCACGACAGTACCAGTCGAGAAGTGTCCCCCCTGAGTCACTTGCCAGAAGTCCTACCCAGTTGCCCATTTTTGTCGACGCCTCACTCGAGGGCACCACATGTCGTGCCCCAGGTTGAGTGAAAACCTGCAGCGACTCCTATGATGACTGCTTCACCGTTCCAGAGGAGACTGTACCCCGTTACGTCAAAAGCTCAGCTGCAGTGATGTCTCCCCTGTTGCAGTTATCTGTCCAGATGCAGGAAGGCATGCAGTGATGCCCTTCGACTCTCACTGCCTATGACCACGATGTTTAGCACACCCACATGTTTTTTTCTCCCTCCTGTAGGAAGTTTTTTTTTTCCATGTCCAAAATGTATATATATGTTTTTATTTTGTGTTCTGTGCCCTGTTCCTACGAGAGAGAGAGACCTAGTTTCTTTTACCACCAGTATTGTCGCATCGGGACGACGCGCAGTAGGTGGCCGAGCGTATGTAGACAGCCTGTACTGTCGCACAGACAGCCCATGTGGGCTGCCACCTATAGGCGTTGCCACTTCAGCCTGTCTGCCCTTGCCTCACACTCACTCACACAGCGGCCTAGCAGGAAGACACAAGCCCTACTCCTAGCTCTCTCTCATGGGATGGCCCTCCCGGGCCATGGGCACAACACACAAACCTGTGTACCCACCATGACCTTTCAATAAACTAAGAAGCCTCCGAAGAAGTTTATCATTAACAACCCGCTACCAGCCCTACCAAACAAACCGTTATACTATGACTTACATCTCTTGTCTATGTCAGAAATGAGGTGAGAAATAGAATGGGAGTGAGTACTGTGCCTTGTGGAAAAAGATCTTTTTACCGTGGCTGCCCCGGGAGTTTACTATTACTTTTGTGTTCTATTTGTCAGGAAGTTACAGATCCATCCCAACTTTTTCCATTATTCCATTATCACACATTTTGTGTGCTATTATGCATGGTCCCCACTTGTTCGAAAGTTTTGCAAAGTCTGCGTATTTCTATAATCTGTATTTTGTTTATCCTCTACAGCAATCCAGGACCTTGTCATAGTGGGTCCAGTAGCTGGAACAGGTAGGAAGGACCTGCTCTAAACCCGTGTTGCCCCGGGTTGTGTAGTTGATGGGTATCTAGGTGGTTGGCTAACTTGCTCTTAGAACCCCCTCAAAGATTTTTATGATATGGGATGTCAGTGTTATTGGTCTGTAGTGCTTTGCAATTGCTTTACTGCCATGTTTGTGGAGTGGAGCTATGTCTGATGTTTTTAGTGTTTGTGGGATGACCCTGTGTCCATGCTCCCTCTCCATAAAATGCTGAAGGCACGTGATAGGGGCTTTTTGCAGTTCTTGATGAAAGCAGAGTTCCCCGAGACTGGGCCTGGGGCAGAGGGCATGGGCATGTCATTAATTGCCTCTTCAACGTCTTAAGGAGTTTAGGATAATATCCGAGATTTTTGGGATGACCAAATTTGGGCTTCGTTCATAAAAAATTCATTTGGATTGTCGACCCTTAGTCTGGGCAGTGGCTCCTGAAAAACTGAGTCATATTGGGAATTAGTATCTCATCATACTGCTAAATGGGATATGAAAGTTTAAACTTAATTAAAAATTCCTTTAAAATTAAAAAGCTTCTATAATACTATAATAATCACTGTGTGTTAGGGAGCATGCACATTCAGGCAAAAATTTGGGCTCAGAGCACAGTTTTTGTCTGTTGGTGTACGCTGTGTGAGACTAGATGATGGGTGCCGCGGGTGACTAGGGGACTGGGTGCCTCCGTTTTCTATGCGCAAATGGTGACTTGAGAAGCATCATACTGAGTCCTGTTTTCTGTTGAGAGGCAGTGATAGACGATTTTATTATTATAATAAAGGGGAAGCGCTAAACCCGTAGGATTATAAAGCGCCCAGGGGAGGGGGGGTGTGGAAGGCATTCAGCTTAATTCGGGGAACTGGAGCACAGATCCAATTCCTTAAATCAAGAGCCCCTCACCACATCAAGGAACCTTCCATGAGGGGTGATGAGACGCAGCTAGTGCGAACTCACCATTTTCTTTGACTGAGTAATTGCAGTAACTCAAATATTTTGTAAAGACTCTGGTCTTTTAACAGTTTTTCGAAGGAACATATTTTCTATATTACTTGTAAACGTACTTACAAGTTCTTGTACAACTGTGTGGCCACTCTCCCATTTCGTAGACGACCAAATTTGTGGAAAGCTGGTAAGATAAATCAAATCAAATCAAAACCCAAAACAAGTTTATTCTCTATAAGGGTTTTCAGTGTGGGGTTTAAAAGGTTTTGGGTATTGTGTGGTTTACAATTATAAAATACTAATTACAGAGGGGGCCACTAGGACACCCAGCATGGCTAGGCATTTCGGGAAGACTTAGATTAATCTTAACATTAAATCCTTACAGATTATGGTAATTAAGGTAAGGACAAAATTATAATTTGTGAGTTTAGCAATGTGAATGCTTTTGTTTTGGCCCCAATACAAAGTTCTTTTATTGCATATCATAGGCAAACTTATGACTAGTTAGGATTCACTATTTTAAGATTAAGATTAGTATTTCTGTGTTTATAGTCAGTGGGTGAGTGAGTGTAATTGTGAACCACCAGGTGGTTATCATGTAGTTAGTTGTCGGGGTTTTATCAGGGGAGATAAGATGTTTTCTAACTGTAGTTTTGAAAGAGATGAATGTGTCTGCCCGTTCTAGAGTTCTCAGGTAGGGTGTTCCAGATTTTAGGCCTTTTTAAATGCATTGAATTTTTGTGAAGGTTTAGTCAGACACGGGGAATGTCATAGAGATGTTTGTGTCTGGTGTTATGCCTGTGGATCCTGTCACAACTACAAGAAAGCGTTTTTGGTCAAGGTTAATATTGAAATTTAAGGTCCTGTAGATATAGATTGCACAGTGGTAAGTGTGGATGTTCTGAACAGGGAGTAAGTTTAGATCTATGAAGAGTGGGGGGGGTGTTGCCAGGGATGGGATTTAGTGATTATCCTTACTGTGGCTTTTTGTTGGGTTATTATTGGCTTTAGGTGTGTTGCTGCAGTTGAACCCCAAGCACAGATAGCATAGGTGAGCTATGGATATATAAATGAATGGTATAGTGTGAGAAGGGCAGTTTGCGGCACGTAGTATCGTATCTTGGAAAGGATCCCCAACATTTTGGATACTTTTTTTGTTATGTGTTGGATATGGGTGCTGAAATTTAGGTTGTTGTCGAGGTATAGGCCAAGAAATTTGCCCTCGTTATGTCTGGCAATTACAGTGTTGTCGATCTTAATGTTAAGTTGCACAACACCTGCTCTGCTACCAAACAAAATATAGTAGGTTCTGTCAGTGTTAAGTGTAAGTTTATTGGCTGTCATCCAAGTCGACATTTTGAGCACCTCCTCGTTAACAATGGTGTTGAGGGTGGCAAGATTAGGGTGGGAGATGACATAAGTCGTGTCGTCAGCAAAGAGAATGGGTTTCAGGTGTTGGGATATGTTTGGGAGATCATTGATATAAATGAGGAAGATTATTATTATTATTATTATTATTATTATTATAATCAAGGGGGAAGCGCTAAACCCGGAGGATTATACAGCGCCTGGGGGGGATGTGGAAGGCATTCAGGCTTAATTCGGGGAACTGGAGCACAGATCCAATTCCCTAAATCAAGAGCCCCTCACCAACATCAAGGAACCTTCCTTGAGGGGAGAGTAAATGAGGAAGAGCAGGGGTCCAAGGACACTTCCCTGCGGAACTCCAGTATCAAGTGGCCGTATTGATGAGGCTATGTTTTTAATGGTGACATACTGATACCTATTAGAAATGTAGGATTTGAAATATGCAAGTGCATGGCCTCTTATACCATAGTGGTCAAGTTTGTGGAGTAGGATGTCGTGGTCTACTGTGTCAAACGCTTTTCTTAGGTCAATAAAAATTCCTAGCGGATATTCCTTATTTTCCAATGCTGTGTAAAGCAGGTCTAGCATTTTTTATAATTGCATCATTAGTGCTTTTATTTTTCCTGAATCCAAATTGGCAGGAGTTGAGTATGTTTTGTGCCGTTATAAATGAATATAGTATTATTATTATTATAATAAAAAATAAGCGCTAAGCCACAAGGGCTATACAGCGTATAATAAATGAAAATAGTCTCCTGTGCACGAGTTTCTCGAAGATTTTGGATAGCAATGGTAAGTTTGATATTGGCCTATAGTTGTTTACATCTGTAGGGTCACCACCTTTATGTATTGGTGTAACCCTTGCTCTCTTGAGTAGTGTCGGGAAAGTGCTAGTTTCTAGTGACTTGTTAAAAAGTAATGTAATAGCATGCAAAAGGACATGGGCCGCTTGTACAATAATGGTGGGACGTGAGACAGATTTCTCGAGTTATTTTTAAGTGACTTTATGATTGCGGTGACTTCTGTGGGCTCAGTTGGTACAAGATAGAAGGAATTTAGGAAATTCCCATCTAGGTAATTCCCAGCACGGGCATTGGTACGTGGGATTTTACTGGCGAGATTAGATCCTATGTTTGAGAAGAAGTCGTCTGACTCGTCTAGGTGGCATAAGTTATTCGCTATGCTCAGTACGATTGCAGAATACCCCAACGTAACACGTTAATTTGCAGAACACGCTTAGCTATGCACAGTACGATTGCAGAATACGCATACAAGCAAAGCCGACTGCAAAATTCTCCACACCGAACAGGCTAGTAACAACTGACACGCAAAATTTGTAAAGCAATGCCAGACAGCAAGCTGCACAATGTTCCTGCTACGAGCTTCACCCTAAGCTCAACCGTTTCTCTGAGTCCAGCTCCAGCTCTCGGACAGGCTACCCATATTACAACCCAGGAATCCAAATGGCCCGTTATCCCGGGTGTAATGGGAGCAAAATAAACACAGCAGAAAAAGTTTAGACTTATATTATCCTTCACCAATTTAGAACAGCAATATGTACACTATGTACAGTGATAAGTATAGTGCACTCCACGGTAAGCAAAGCAGAAATAGAAGCCACAAGATAGCAGACCGTGCTTCAACCAGCTCTAGAATGGGAATGACAAGGGCAGACAGGAGAGCGGTACCCACATAACCTCTGCAATTGCCAAAACCACTTCTTATTGGCTAGAACCTGGTCACTAGTTGAACGACGGGCCCCATCATCAACTCTTAGCAACCTGGTTCGCTGGTTGGGGGAGATAGCCTGTAAATGAGGGTGTATACATGCGCCGAATAAAGGTTACGTACTCTTAACATAAGAACATAAGACAAAGAAGGAGGGAAAACGCAGAGGCCTTGGCCCATCAGGCAGGTCCTTACAATTCATCCCCCTAAAAAACTTTTGACCC